AGGAGCGGAATCAGGATGCGTGAACGGTCCTCCAGATCAACCTTCTTGGAACTCCATGCTAACAGACTTGCTTTTATGGCTGACATGAGGATGGGATCTGAATGTTCCAGTACATCCAGGATATTCTAATTCATACTGTTTAAGAAAAACTGTGCCAAGCGCCTGTAAAGTACAGTCTGATCCTACTATATATGATTCACAGTGGAGAGACCGCGTAGGCGCAACGTAAATTAGGCAGTTTATGTCGGGACTGGCAGCGTCCGTACCCGGGTAGGAGTCCCTACGTCACGCGGCACACGCTTGCACTCATATTTGCGTCGCCCACAGTTTATGAGTCCGGAAGCATGCATGCGTGCCAAACGGAACCTGGTGGTGCGACAGGGTGTGCATGCGTGTGGTAAAGAGTTGATTTGTGTGAAATGTAAGACGAAAGAAAACATGGCTGAATCAAGCTGAGTACCCTATCAGCTTACGGTAGCTACGCGCAGCGTGGATGCTATAATTAAACCAGGGTTACGTGCTTTCCCTCCCCCTACTTCCGTGCGTCATGTGAACGCCTCGACTACGGTAGTCTGTCCCCTCACCACTTGCGCGAGGGCAGCTGCGGCGTGTGATTCCAGATCCAAACGACACGTCGGCGCACCGTCCCGAAGTCAGGTCACATCGGTGAGTTCCAAGCACGTGGCAAATGCCTGTCACTACACTGATAGCCCTCATGTTGGCAGAATAGCGTTACCGACAGCGACAAGGGCGAGTGGAATGGCCATCTCCCTCTTATTAGCCGTCAGTACAGGACAACGAGCTCGTGGCTCAGTGGTTAAAGACGTTGGACTTCTAACCAACAGGTCGGTGGATCGAGCCGCAGGGTTTGCACACCTCGGGGTTGGGTATGGCTGGCTGATGATGGCTAATAAGCCAGGGCCCGAGAGAGAGCCCCAATGCACAACGGGACGAGTGAGCTCCGTAACGCGATTGGTGAGCGTCCCCCCCCCGCCCCCTACCACAGCCCTCACATTTCGAACTGATTCGCACACACACGCATCATTTTCCCGACTCCACAGAAATAAAGTTCGCCGAAATATTCTATATATATGTATATATTTAAAAGTAATCGAAACAAATCAGACCGACTGAGAAGCAAACGAATTTTTTAACAAAGGGAAACTAAGATAAGAAAACAGTGTAAAGCCTTGACACTAGCACAGGCCCCACCCTCGCCCGGTGTTTCTTGTTCAAAGCAGGCAGCTGAACTTCAAAAAGCATGTTCCATGAGGTGGCGTCATCGGTGTGTCATGGAATTGCTGGTTGTCGCTTTAGGCGAGCTGCTGCGAAATCGAAAACGTCGTCGCCACTGCCCCCCCGTTGCTGCTGCAGACCTCGCTTTTGCTATTCTCCGGTGATTTCAACGGCGCTGATAAGTCTTTCTGCTCAGTCAGTTTCCACTGTTACTTCCCCCGAAGATGGTCTGCCGCCAGCAGAGAGAGGATCCGCTGTTTTCTCTGGTTATCCTTCTGTTCTGCCTCAAAGACGTCCTCCTCCGGTCACTCTGCTCCATCGCCTCCCATGTGGGTCGTCCCCTGACCTGATCCCCGTCTCGCCCATGGACCAGGACACCGCCGCCAGACGAACCGACTCATGCCTGTTGCAGGTTCTGTGTTCAGCGCAATCTTAGTGGCAAAGTGGGACGACGTCTTATCAGTAATATCACGCTGGCCCACCCCCTCTGCAAGGCCATCATGAGCAGGGCCCTGGTGAGCCTCATTATTCGACTGCAGTGGAACTCGTTCGGCTGGGCAGAGTCCACAACTGCCACTGACATTTGCCCCCTTCAGCCTCACATCATTGGTATAAACGCACTTCTGACGGACTCCGGTGTCCACTGGCAGCTGACAGCAATAACCATGGTGCCTACCCAGGATGTCAATAGGCCTGCAAGGTCGCCTCACTGGACTGCCGTTAGTTGGTGGCGGTAGACGGGCAAAAGTACCAGGACTCCACCGGTAGGTTTCACATCGCCTGACGACTGGTCCGCAGCGACACTGCGAGCAGATTGCGTTCACGCCGCGTCTGACATTGTGAATACACTGCGTATTGTGCAGTTTGCTGTTGGACTGCGGACTAACCTGGCTGCCCGTTGACCTCTTCGGTGATGCTGGCGGCGGTGCCTGCGGTACCGGGACTGGCAACAAATTGTGGCGATTGCTGGAAGCCCGCTCCTGTGAGACTGGCGGGGAGCCCTTGTCGCGCCCTCTGCCGGACACCTGTGAAGTCCGTTCTGGCCTGAGGCTGGCAGGCTGACCAGTAGCCCCGGTCTCCTCATCCTCACTGGAGGGCTGTTGGGATGTCCACGGTGTGTCCCTTCTTCGCAAACCTGGTTTACTCTCAGACACGTGTGATACCGCGAGGGATAATTTGGTGGTGCGGGTGCCTTTACCCTGCGCCAGGCTCGCAGCTTTGCTGTTTCTAATTGACGGCTTGAAGGAGGACACGGTGGAAGGCTGCCTTGCAGCTGCTGCGTCCTCACTAGGTCGAGGGCTGTTCAACTCAATCTCATCGTGAATACTGTGTGCGGCGTGTGACCCGGCGGTGGTAGCCCAGGGCGTGTCCGTCCGTTTTAAGCTCGGTTTAGCCTCAGACGGTGGCGGAACCTTGACAGACAGCTTTGTGGTTCGAGCGTCGTCTGTTTGCACGACATACACGGCGTTGATGTCATCCACAACGGAATCCATTGGCGGAAGTTCATAGTACATGGCATTGGCCTGGTCAAGATAGTGCCTGCTCTCCGGATGGCCTGCTGTAATAGGTGGCATCATAAGCTTCACCGCGGGATGTAGGGGTTCTTTCAACTCCTCCACTGTTTCCCTCGGGACATAATTTGGGTCATCATAGTATTCCGGGGGCTGTTCATTGAAAGTCAGAGTTACTACCTCCGTCTGTCCGTTGGTGCCGCGGAGACTTGTTACTTCCGCTGTGACTGCGGCGCTGCCTCTAGCACCGGGATGACTAATCACACTGCTGTGCGGCACACCAAGAGCCTCCACATCTACCTCCTGCTGACTCCCCCTCATAACTGGACCTGTCGTTATTGTTGTTGTTCTTGGTACAATAGAGTTGAGAGTAGGCCTTTGGGAAACTCTCTCCCCTTGATCCTGCAGTACCACTGGCAGCGTGACCTTCGAGGAGGTTCTGTTGAGCCCGTCTGTGTCTTCAGTGTTCACAGCCCAGGAGGGGGCGGGAATGACAGTACGCACCATGACGCTGGTAACGGCAGGTCCTCCGGACCATCGACTAGAGCGCTCCGCTGGAACGACTTGACTGCCGCCACTTCTGGATGAGGATCTGAAACCCGATGGCCCATCCGGTAGGGACAGAGACAGCGCTTTAGTATTTGTTGAGTTGATGCTGGGTTGATTCTGTCTCGGGCATTCGGGCCCATCACATTCCTCTGGGCCTCCAAGAGCAGACGCACCAGACACTCTCTTTTGGGAGTCGAAGGAAATTCGATCGCGCGCTGCTAACGCAGAGTCCAGAGAGTACCCTATCGGAGCCTCATTTGGATCCTGCTGTGGGGGCATAAGGCTGCCCGGCTTCCCGAAATTCATGCTTAATCCCACGTTGACGGACGACATCTCCTTGCTAGGGCCACCCGAATCCATATGAAGGTTAAAGAGAATGTCATCTGGCCGGACAACGCTGGAGGCCTTCCCGGTTACTGATGGCTTTGCAGAAGGGCGGCCGTTGAAGCCTACCGTTCCCGTTGTTTTCCGCTGTTCTAAAAGTCCCGGACTGCTTGAGGGGGAACGTCGTCTGTTGAGGTGTTCGGGCGCATCTTTTTTCGCCGCTTCTACCTGAACTAAAAGAGAGTCATCATTAGACTCCTTATTTATCGCGGTCACTGGGTTTTTATTGGATAGCGTCGCAATAGATATTACTCCCATTGACTCGAGGGTCGACCAGGAGAAGTCTAGGCCACCAATTGTGCTATCCTCATCAAACCCAATGTCATTCAGCCAGTCCTTGTTGAGTGGTGCAGCACCAACCGCATTCAGTCTGGGAATCGAGAGAGGCCCAGTTATCGCGACATCTGTCCTAGAGCATTCTATGGTGGCGTTAACCTCCTTCGTCTCCTCGTCTTCGTCTTCTCTGGCGAAATAATCGTCCGCGATTATAATTTCCTCGGTCGTGCCCTGTGAGGCCAGAGATTGCTGCTTTGCTTGAGCAGAAGTCGAACGCTTTTTACCATTGGTAAGAGGTCTGTCCTGTACATTTGAGCCCTGACTGGTCCGAAATCTTTCTTGGGCACTCTGCTTGCTCTTGACAACATCTTCTAGGACCAAGAATTGCACTGCACTCGTCACGATAGATGATGTTAACGGTTTTACGGCCTCCGTCAAGTTTGAAGTCCCCACCTCTCCTGAACTCTGCTCCGGTAATGTGGATATCTCTGCTGTCAAGGCATATGCGTCAGCCGACTTGGTAGGATCTATATTGGCGCCTCCGAATGCTGTATGCAGCCCCTTAGCGGCAACAGTTGATGGTTGATCTTCAACCTCATAGGTCTTCTCGACAGTTCCATTATCCGTTTCGTTTAGGGCTGCTTGGTGGAAGACCAGACTGGGCGCAGACTTTTTCGGCATTCCGATGGATAAATGTGCTGGGGTGGATTTTTTGGCGGACATGACGGACGGAGACACTGACCCCTGTGATGCTCGTAAGACGCTCGGGCACGCGTGCAATCCGGACTCCCCCGAAAGAACTTCCGTCAACCCATGTAACATGGGTTTCAATTTTGACAGGATATCTAGTTGATAGTCTTCGGGTAGGTTCGATCTGTCTACCTGCAGTGCCTCTGCAAGGCTGTCAAGATTGAGGCCATTTAAGGACGACAGCGACGACCGTGCTTTATTTGTTGGATTGTAGGTGTAGTCGAGTTTAATGCGAAAACGACACTTGCCCCCTTGCTCATCATAGACGCTACCGGGTGGTGGCTGTAGGAAGCCCTCAACGGTTGCTGCAATGACGCTATCATCATCGGATCCCGCGTTGACACCATTTTGTAGTTTGAACTCACTGCGGAAGAGTTGATTTTTCGATGCTCTTGTCCAGCTGTCATTTCCTCGTCCCGAGCCACGTTGGTTGGAGTTTTGCTGAACTTCTTTGATGGTGTTATGTCGTTCTACTTGGTCGATCTTTTTGGCATAGAATTCCACCAGGCGGCCAAAGTGACTTGATTGCTGCGGCATACGGTTGGCCTTGCTAATGTCTCACGTGTGAATGGAAGTCACTGCGAGTCTGGTTAGCTTGGGCTGCCTTTTTTCTCATTCAGTGTGCGTATCGCGCTAGATGACGGCGGGTGGGAGCTTAATTGCGCCACATGTTTAAATCGTATCGATTAGTCATGTCATGTGCATGGTCACGTGCTTCCCATAAGGCACTCGTTTGTTTTGTCTAGTTACCCATTATGCCGCTGGGCGATGCGACTATCAGTGGACGTTTGCATTAACGCATGCCCGCAGTGTTTTAGGCGGAACTGTAGTCTGTTATCGGTTATTTCAACGTGAGACGCGCAACTGGAGCGTAAGGCTTCGTGACGCGCTGAATAAGTGACTTCAGGAGCAAGATGGATTTGAGACCTGAGATCAACGTCAGGAGTATCCACACAACGTGACTGTGAAGGATCCTATTTCGCAGTACTTATTTTTAACGAACCACCCTTCAGTACTACGCTACAACTTGCGCAATATCGGTCGAACAGATCGATCATCCTGTCTCAGACTGCATCGCAAATGCTATTCTTCCCACAAGTCGCGCCTGAGTTTTCGGTCATTTTTTGAGGTCGTATAATGGATCATAGAATCCACCCCAAGTATCATTCAAAGACAGCTATACTATGCCCCGTAGAAATATAGACAACCACATGGGTGCTGTTGGCCAATGACCGTGAAGTAGACATTTCATTAATAGATGTTTTAACAGATTTCATTAAAACCTCGGCCTCCGGTGGGACATCATAGCTCAAGTGGCTAAAGCGTTGGCTGTACTAAAGCCTTCCCCTTGCTGTCATGGGTTCGAATCCCACAGAGGTTGTCCAATTTTTCGCAGTTGCGTCAAATTAGTAGACACTGGTAGGGGACGCTCACCGATCGTTCTTACGGAACTCACTCATTCCGTTGCGCCTTACGAGCACTCTCTCTCTCGAGCCCAACCAGCAGCCGCACAGCGGCGTGGGATATCGGCAGTATGGTATTACCGACAAAGACAAGGGAGACTGGAATGGCCATTTCTGGCTTACTAACCGTCGTCAGCCAGTCATACCCAACCCCGAAGTGTGGATCACCCGAGGTTCCCGATCGAAATCGACGGGTTGTGGTACGTCTTGTTGCGGGCTCCTGTGGTGCCAATTGGGATTTGGGCCGTTCCCCATCCTATATTTTCTTAGTGTATAAAGACGTGGCCGAGTGCTTGTTGTGGACCAGAGGGTGTGGTGTGGTACGTCTAGGTGCAGACTTCGCCGCGCCAACCACTTTTGCCGCCCCCCCCCCTGCCTCCGGTCTCCCTGACGCCGGCCCGGATGGGGGAGAAGGATAGAGTATAGTATATGTCTTCCAAGCCTACTATTACGCTAATTCGCGCGCAAATCCACGTCCCTACGTCCACCCTACTGTGGGGGCACATACAGTGCGTGACCGATCTCATGAAATGTTGGCTGAATTTCTGAAATGCATTTTCTATAAGGGAGGATTAATAATGTGGCGTTGTAATATTTATCCTCTTGTAGCATAATCTTATAGTATTTCAGACTTTTCAGTATGTCGGCTTTTGAATGCACCTCTTTCCGACGTCCTGCAAAAACGGCGTTCGGTAGAAGATGACTACTTAAGTAGCACGTATTTTTCGCAATGATTATTGATGGTCTTATAAATTCAAATGTATTTTATAGAAGACATGCATGAATATATACTTTCCTTCACTCGTTTGGTAGCACATCACATTCTCTTCTCATTTTATACCATAAGAGAGGTTATCTTTTGGTTTTAAACAAGTTTCTAATTATGAGATTTTTAAGGCCGTGAGACGTCCATATAAACAGCATCGCACATGGCAGTTTGCTAATGCTCCTCACGAAATGTACAACATTGCCCGCATCCATTGCAAAATTTTACAAACTCTATATGGCACCTTCTTAAAGACATAGAGGAATGTATGATCCTCCTTACGCGGAAAGCATGCGCCTTGTAAACTAAAATCGCTAAGTGTTAATGCTACGGCTGACCAGGCTCCAAATTATTCGGGAATTGGGAAACTTTTTCAAAACTTGAATATACACTTTCTTCAGGTATAAAACTTGAACACAGTGTGATTTTCTACCAAACGAGTGAAAGAAAGCATATTCCCGTGAATGTTTTCTATAAAATATATTTGAATTTATAAGAAAAATATATGCCACTTAAGTGGTCATTATGTCACAAGATGAACAATATTACAACGCCACATTATTAATCCTTCCTAATCGAAAACGCATTGCCGAATTTCGGTCAACATTTCATGAGATCGGTCACGCACTGCAGTGGTCCTTGTCGGAATCTACGGTCGAACTGTTGTGTATTCCCCTGCAACGGGTCACGCTGGAAATATGCTGGTCCAACACGGGGAGCAGATCAGGGCATGGCAGGCGTTATTGGGAGTACTCACCCCATAACAAAGGCCACCCATGAAGGGTATGGTGGCATCCCTGGGTGCAGGCTCGCGGCTCCCCAACCACCCGCACCCGATCCAGCCTCCGATTTCCCTGACTTTGCCATGACACCGAGCGCAGGTGGGTGAGGGGAGGGGGTGTGCGCGGTAGATTCATAACAAGCTTGCTACCACTATAAACTGATTTACGCGTAAGTCCTTGCGCCCGCCATGCTGTAGAGATCACACTGGACAGCATCGTTGGCACTGATCAGACTGAAGTGACCGCCAGCACCAACACCAAACAGGTGTGAGAATTTCTCGCAGCTTGACACTCGGACACAAACAGCATAGATCGCCATGTTGACCTGGGCGCCCACTACAAAGAGCTGCGTTCACGGCTCACTGGCTTTCATCAAATTTAAACCAGCTGCTAATCCACGCCTAGCGATGCAGAATCTCGCTCGACGCCTTCCCTGCACGGTGAACCACAACTCAAGTTCGCGACAGCTCTTCCTAACTTTCAGCGTCAATCGTAACGCGCTTTCATCCTTTCACACGGCCATCTGTCTGTCTATGCAACCTTTATGTCCCCAAGTGCTCTAGTGTGATTATGCCACTCCCGCTATTCATTTCGCCTAACGAGGGGTGGGTGTAACCGGCTTATAAATCCACTAGTACAAATCGATTTTTGTCAAGCTTTCTCGTTTTATTATACCATTTAGAAGTACACAGTACCTCCGCTATTTTATATATGCATATAGGAGAGGGACGCTCACTGATACCGTTGTAGTTAGGACGTTGGACCTCTACCCGGCAGGCCGTGGGATCGAGTCTCAGGGGTTGCTAAACTTGGGATTTCTTATGATTGGCTGGTGATGGCTTACAAGCCAGGAATGGTTATCCCAGTCGTCCTTGTCTTTGTCGGTAGTGTTATTCTGCTTATATGTAAGTATATCAAAAGAAGAGGGGACGTTCACCGGGAGGGGTTTATTGCAGGTCCGACGTTTCGAGTAGTTTAGTTGTCTACCCATCTTCAGAGACTGGGAAGTCCTGTGCACAGCTCCCCTTATAATGGCGCCCTTTGTTCAATGCGTGATCCGCCAATGCCGCCTGTGTGGCTGCATCCAACCTGCATGTCACCGTGACCTGAATCGCCCCCGTCGGCCGCGGAGATGACTGTCGGCCCCGATTGTCCCTCGCCGTGACTGTCCCCCGCTAAGAAGGTCCGTAAAGTCAGATAGGGGGGAGGCAAATTGATGTGGCGGTTGACAGAGCGGTCGGTGGACATCCAGGCTTCTTGAACTTGCCTTGCTGTGTGATCGCCGCCCCGGCCCACAATCTCAACGGCGTCAAAGTTGGAGATGTGTCCCATTTGCGCGGCATGAGTTGCTACCTCCGACTTTGGGTCCAACCTTCGCACGGCCAACTTATGCTCGTACATTCGCGTCGGACCTGCAATAAACCCCTCCCGGTGAACGCCGCCTGTTCTTTTGATATGCCACCTGGGAATCGCATTTTCACTACTATTGATGTAAGTATATGTTATTTTGGCGCAACTATGAAAACCTCGACGAACTCTGTGGGATTCAAACCCACGATAGCAAGGAGAAGGCTTGGGCACATCCAAGGCTCCAACGGGCGTCGTGAGCTCCATCCCATTTGGGTCAAGTTACCTGTCCAGCCTATTGCAACGCCTGGAATCCACCAAATCTGATGCAACAATCTGACTGCCCAAGCGGTATTTCCTACGTAAGTAATCTAGAATCCACCAGCTGACTACCAGGCTCACGTAATTAATAGGCGCTTTGACCAGACTGGGAAATCTGTCTCAACCCGTCTACATGAACACCAGTTAGCTGTGAGGTAACACGATCATCTATCCCAGGTGGCTACGCACACACTGGACACTGGGAACAAATCTGCATGGAAGAACACTCGCACTGTTGGCGCCTGTCCAATAAGGACAGGCCGTGAACTCCTGGAAACAATGCACTCAGGAGCGGCATACATAAATCAACATATCGCTTTAGATGCCAAGGACCTGTAGTGACATTTAAGTCTGTTTTGTTTTAATCAGTTACAATACGCTTTGACACAACTTTGAATAAGACAAAGAACACGCACGTGCACTTTTACCTGCCGATGACTTTGTTCTTATTTACTAGTTTGTAACTGTTGGGATACTGCTATTTTCGTATCCTGGATAGCCTACTCGCTGTGCCCAACTAGTGGGTTTGTCTCTTAAAGACCAATGAAGCGAGCACTTGGGTATCGTCAAAGTCGAACACGTGATTATTTTATAGACTGTGCATGGCGACGTGCGAGCTTACATCCTTCCGCTTTACAGCTAAGGCGTGCTCATGCAGACACGTCAGACGTCATTTACCGCGTCAAATGTCTAGACTGTCTGGCCAACTACTGCGGCATGACGGACAAACGACTGCACACGCGCGTGCATGAGCGCGTCTTTGCCATTTCTGGCTTATTAGCCGTTTAGCGACAAGTGGGATAGGTGGATAAAGTGGCAGCGATAAAAACAAGGGTGGCGATATCTGGCTTATTAGCCCTCATCAACCGGCCATGCCCAACCCCAGTTGTGGATCGTCTGGAATTGGTATGGTAGCGTCACACTCAATAACCGGAGATCCCGGGTTATGATTGGCTGAATGAAGGCAGAATAAGCCCGAAACAGTGCTGTATCAATCTACCCGCATTCTCTGTCGTCCCTCCTCGCTGCTATTATGACTTGGCCGACTTCGGCCTGGTAATTGGTTGCCTGTTCGTGACCTTTGCCACACATACGGAGCTTGTTTGCTTTGTGAAGCCAATAGATCGGTGTGCGCCCATTCCTGATTGATAAATACCCGATCTGCAGCGACAGAGAATGACCTGTGGCGAGGCACTGATGAACTTCGGTTCGATGAAGTGCTTATGACCCATCTGGTAGGCCTCAGTGGTGGACCGACTGCGCCAGGTGCGTCTGTGCGCATGTTTGTGTTTCTGATCCCAGCTGCTGGTGGTCAGGGTTATGATTGGCTGAATGGCCGTGTATGTCTTATTAGTTGTTGTCACTCAGTCACGCCCAACTGCAGGCTTTGAGGATATGGCGTTCGGACTCCTGCTGTTTGGTCATTAAGCGTTAATTAGCTTAGCCCTATATCACTGAGTCACGGGGCCGTTGCCGCATTGGCTGTGATAAGGAGCATTAATCAGGCGCGCCCACAAATCACGTTGCCGGGCGTACTCGCCGTTGTGAGACCGCCTGCGAGAGGTCTACATTGAACTCCAAGGTGCAAGGGCTAAACACGTCCTGCAACCTGATCGTTGAACGAACCTGCTGCAAATGTGCGCAAAAGGGGTGCAAGCGAAGGCAAGGGAGACTGGAATGACCATTTCTGGCTCACCAGCCATCGTCAGCCAACCATACCCTAACTATAAGCCGGCAGTGAAGAGCAGATTCTGTGGTCATTGTGCGTTAGGTACAGCGCTCTACCACTGAGCCACAGCCTCATTGTCCTGTCGGCTTCGTTGCTATCCGCAGAACAGCATTGGCTGCGCGCCCACTCTTACGCACTCCCGGAAGAAATAAGGTGATCATCAGGCAGCTTTAGCTTGCAGGGCCTGAGTTTTCAACACGGACAGGTGCTACCAGCCTTAGCTTTTGCTTCCGTTCAATGAAATGTGCGTGTGAAAGCCTTTGTTTTTCTACGAGGTACTTCTCTGATCACAGAGAGAGAGTCCGCTAAGAGTTATTATCCAAATAACGGAGAGCATCTATCATCCGATTGCGGGCCAGTGGAATGCACTTTTAGATTTGCGTCAACTGTTGTCTGCAGATACCGTCCATCATTATGAGAGAGAGTGTCCTAAACGAGTTCCATGTCGTTTAACACGCCTGTACCAATCTGCTCCCGTGGTCGTTAGTGCGACTGTTCACCCATTCGCCTAACGCCTAACACGCTTCCGCCGCGTGTGACTTGGCACCGGCGTGGTAGCAGCTTAACGCTAATTGACGCCGCATCCTTCGCTGATTGGTTGTAGGCGGACAAAGCCCAGGCGCGCGCAGTTACAATGTGTCGAAATAGATAAACCTGAACGGTGGACACGCGGCTGAAGAGAAGAATTGCTGCCATTGCTTACTGAGCTGCATGTACGCTCTCTAGCCCCAGTAAAGATTGTTAAGTAACCCTGTCTTCCCTGGCTTTTGGAAACCGCGCGCTGTCGACCCGTCGCATCTGGACACAGCAACCAGCATTACACCTGCCTAGGAACTGTGGCAAGCTGTTCAGCCTCCGCCAACACTCCATCGGTGTATGCAAACGAACGTCTGCTAGTCAAGAAACAAAACCACACCGAATAAACACTCACTGATCTTGAATCCCGTTCATTGTGCCTCCTACCAGCTCGCCCACAAGGCACCACGCGGGAGGGGATTGGATGAAACGAAATGTTGTGTCACCGTTTTGCAGTACTCCCACTGGGCCACAGAGTTCAAGTCAGGATTTGGGAGGCCGTTGAAGGGGCAGTAACTCTCCACCGCCGTGTTCAGAGCAACCGTCCACACAACAACATCGTTCTGGTACTCATCTAATCGCCGCAGCTCGTTCTCCCGCAAACCCCTCAAAGAGTAGGTTCGCGAAGTCGCGATTTTCGACTTTACAATGGCCACAAAGGTTAGCGTTCGACTGCTCATTAGGTGTCTCGAGTTAGTACTGGGAGTGCGGGCAAGGTGGGAACGTCTGAAATAGGGCCTTGATCGCTTAATGGGTCCCCCAAAGATGACCACTTGTCGGCCGACACCAAGACAAAGTCCGGTCCCGAAGGGTACCCTTTGAATTTGCAGTCTGTGTGTCCGTGCGGGTGGTACTGGCGTGCCCGTAATCTGTGCACAGCAACTGGAGCGTTCGGGCCGCGGCACCACCTTCTTCCTCACGGCAGCAGATGGTGACGGCGGCGGATTCAGGCCTCCCATCTGTCGTGGATGGACTCCCTTGCACTCCTCCATCTGCCATTGGACGTCGGGAGGGCTGTAGGTGTCCGACTCCTCGTGTCGCGCGGTGGTGGTCGAACTGGAGGTAATGGCCGAGACGGTCCGAGTCTGGCGCACCGCGTCCTCAAATTCCAGACGAACTTCCGTGGGCAGGTCGGAGGTAGACGAATAACCCATGCTCTCCCCCTCCTCCGCGGGCTCCTCCAAACGGAGGCCTCTCCGCTCCTTCCGCCTCGTCTCTCGTTGCAACGGAAGTCGCGTCTCCACTGACTTACTGACATCGCCACTGCCTAGAACTGAGGCTGCCCACGATCTGTCCACCGGCTGTTCAGAGCGTATTCGTGGCCGGCCATTTCGTCGGACCTGGGCCTCGACGACTTGCCCATCTTCCTCTGGGAGCGGCTCTGTCTGGTGAGTTCCACTAGCCTCACGACCACTTCCCGGTGAAGCAGCGGCGTCTTCCCCCATGAGGTGCTGAAGGAGGTTTTTTCGAGCCCGTAGCTCACGAAATCCACTCGTTGATGAGTCTGTTCTTCGTCTGCTGTTACTCATCCCCACTTCTGCACATTGACAGAGGAGCAGATGGTCTGCGTCTGGAAGAGGAGGAGGAGAAACGGCATTATTTGCTTCACGGGAGATGGACCGGTATCTGAACAGTGCGGCATCACTAGCCGGGTGACCGCCTCCATCTAACTCACCCCACCCAAAATTATTGCGATTGACGATTGAGCTGTGCCAGTTAGTTCTCCTTAGGAGTGCGTTCTTCCTTCTGATGAGGTCTGCACAAATATGATTGGAGTTTCCTGAGTTTAGCACGGGTGCAAATTTGGCAATCAACTCCACCAGAGCCTCCATTCTCCAGGCAGCCTTTGAGCTGGTGTTGAAGAGAGCGCAAGAATTGTTGACGTTCCAACCCCTCAGCTCGTTTCGATCGACACTCAGTGCTCGCGCAGCGGAAAGCTGACGAATCTTCTTCATAAAGGCACGCTTCTGTCGCTCTCGGATTTTTGGATCAATCTGCTTCGGTGACTTTAGCCCGCTGAACCTCGGGGGTTTGCGTATGACTCTGCAGATGACCTTCGCTCTGGCATCTGGTTCAATCAGTTGGCTGAGCCCGGGCAGCACTCCTGATCTGGTGCTCGTTTGCGTGCCAGAAGACAGCTGGCTCCTCGTCGACAGTGGTGGTCTAACCTCTGCTCTTGGTTCTTTCACCTTGAGGGTACTGGGATGGAGGACAAACAAGGGCTGATGCACCCCGTTAGGCATCTTCCGAATTTCAAGCTGCTTATTTATTCGTGGGCCCTCTTGCTCAAGAATGGATGGCGGCGTTAAGGGAGCTCCTTGTGCCGACTCTGAATCTGAAATTCCGTAGCCGAGAGACCTATGCGTCGCCAGACTGGGCACTTTGGTGGAGACCACTTCGGAGAATTCAGTGACGTAGTCGAAACATCGACTGGAGTACGTATTTCGGGTTCTGTTGGCACTAAGATCAGGTTTCAACTCCCTGTCTCCCCTCTCCTGCCGCTTACGATCCAGACACTCCCTTATTGCTCCATCCAGCCCTGAAACTCCCCTGTCGCAGCCATTCGCGGCCTCTGTTTCAACGTCACAGTAAACTCTGGTGTAGCGGAGCGGTGACATGGTGTGAAGGCTCTCCGGCGTCTCGCCCTCCTCCTCTTCTTCCTCCTCCTCCTGGTCCTCATCCGGGAAGTCTTCCTCCCCGTCCGAGAAGGGTACAAACAACCTTGGTGGAAAATTGGACACCAACTGGCCTGGAGCTGCTCTCAACAGTACGCACCTCCCCGTCTCATCACCCTTCCCCGCCGCAGCCGTCACATTGTACGCTCTTTCAACAGTGTACACGCGAGCTGTCCTGTCCTCACTGTCTTCGTCATCTTCGAGAGTGGACTCGGCCTCTCGCTGTTCCGCTTCCCCCTCCCCCAAAGGGAACGTCAGCAGGGGGTTGTGTGTTCTCTCGTCAATTCCAGTCAGACGACTGAGGAGCTTGTTGTTGTTGTAGGGCATTGTATTCATCTGGGGCTGACCAAGACACATGCCGCCACCACAGGAGTCGCCCTGGGTGTAAGGAATGCAGGCGCGGACTCTACTGCAGCCGATGGGTTTCGACAGTGTACGCGAGGGACTCATGGCGTCCATGTTCGGACCGCAGCGTCGGACGGTTGCGCTCTCGCTGCTTGATCGTATGCCGCCTACTGCTTCCCCCGCACGAGGCTCATACTGCCGATTGCCAGCGTTAGACCAGACAGCCCGATCTTGGGTGTTTGATCCAGTCTTAGCACTGGAGGCTTTGAAGTCGGATGAACTGTCCTTGTCATGCTCCTTAGTCCGCCCGGATAGGCTGATGACTGGTTCTGTCCCGCAACCCTGCTTCAACTCAAACGTATCCACATGGGTGCCACCACCGGGTAGGGCATTTTTTAAGGAGATGGCCAATGCGCGATGGAACTCTGCGGTTGTCTTGGCGTCTCTGGACATCGTAGACTCACAGTCAGGCGGGAACGAGTCACTGGTTGCCTGACCGACTTTTGGAAAGAGACAGAATTCTGCGGCATCATTTTTCAGACGCAGACTGCAATCCTGTCTGGCATGGCTTGGGACGCAGTCTTCTGTACCAGGTATGCCACAGGACATTTCATTCTGTTCTGATTTCTCTGCTCTGAAGCCAGTTTTAGTCCCCCGCCGAGGCACCTGCCGTCTGGGCGATTTCACAACAGCCTTATCTTTCAACGCCTTTCTGATATTTCCTGACTGAGAATCCGCATCTGCAGCGGGGTCTTCACTGGACATACTTGAAGACGCCGCTGTCGTTGCTGGACTTTCCCTAGCCTGTTCAATCGCATGCACGAGTTGCAGATCGGTGGATTTGGCTAGTCCATCAACAGGCTTTTCGAGGACACCTACAGGGCTGGCGGGGAGGCGTTGAGTTCCCCCCTGCTCACCCGTAGGAAAGCTTGGAGAAAGTGTGTAGGGCTTCAAATTGCAGCCAGTGGCGCCTGTAGACCCTGCAAACCCCTGATTCGGCCACGCCTCACCACCATCAGAAACGGCCCTCGAGCAGATCTGCCCCCCATCTCGACTGGCGCAGTTTCCGCCCTCATCTAGGGCTTTTGAGCCGTACTTGACAGAGTTGGCGATACTGAGCTCGTCCAGCTGGGTCAAAGCGTTCTCTTGCCTCCCCAATTCCTCCTCATTCTCTCCCGAGGTGACCTGTTGAGTCGAGTCCTTGATAGTCAGTGACCTTAGTGAATTTACTTCAACGGCCGTCGTAATACAGCTAAAAATGGCCTCATGCTCCAACTGCAGATGGAACTTCTCAACGCCCAGGGCTGTTTGCTCCAACTCGCAGACCTTGCCCTTGAGATGTGAACTGCTGGCTATCGAGAAGGCGGGGCGTTTACTGCTCGTATCAAGGTCCTTCATGGAGTCCTCCAGTCTGGCGCACTCGGTGGCGTTTTGCCAGGGTATGCTAACCTGGGAAGTCATTGCACCAGTCTTTGCGGTTAGTGAAAAGTTAGCTACCCGATCTGATCTAAGCTCAGTGGATAAAGTGTGGCAGGTTGATCTGCAGTCTGGGCTGGCTGATCTATAAGCGGCAAATTGTTCTCCGTTATCACCCGATATCCTTACTTCAGCCAGCGGAGCTGAATTCCTCAGCGTCGGGGCATGAAGGCCGTTCTTGTTTCCGAATCGTTCCTCTGTGTCCTCAGTAGAGTTTTTCTTGCAGGCCTCAATCACTACCGAGCTTCCTCTGCCCTGCGACGTGTTGCCATTCTCACAAACATTTACGGGGGTCGCCTCAGTATTCTGAACCCTGTTGGGATGGTTAGTCGCGATCCTTTGTGACTCTCTCTCTGCTCCCAGATGTTGACTCTTGTGCAGCGGCAGTGGATCATTTCTGCAGGACGATGCTTCTGCGTAGTCTACCTTAACTCTCAGTGAGCTCTGAAATTCATCTGATTCCTTCGTTCTAATCAGCCCACAGTCAACCTCCATTTCGCCAGCCCAACTCCCCGTGTCAAGTGTCAAGTCTTTGCGACCAATTTGAACTTCGGGTAGGGACTGTCGACAAGCAACTTCCTGTCGCCCAAGCTCATTGTATTGACGAGGGCGTTCGGGACTCTTTAGGATGGGCGTGGGCAGCTGCAGTTGCCTGGTTGTCGAATCCTGGCGTTCATGCTCAGCACAAAAATATCTTGTTTCGTCCGCCATTGCTGCCGCGACCTCGTAAAAGAGGCTGCTGTCCGCGCATCGCATCCTCTCATAATGCAAGGGTGACAGAGAAACGTGTTCTGGCATCTCTACGACACTGCCATCTACCGAATTAGGACTTGTCCTTTGCGACTTGGATTCAACCGGTGTGCAAAGTAGATGCCGGCACACAGATGGGCCAGTATATTTACACCCCTCTGCATCTGACAGTTGTAGATCCTGGTGCGTTTTGCTGCCTAGACTGTCCGGAGCAACTGAACCCTCCTCATCAGCCTGCGGCCACGCGGGAACCGCTACTTTTATGTCATCCGGGCAGGAGAACGCCTGGGGATTTGAGGTGAAGGCAGAGGAGGATGTGGACAGGTCAAAAGTTGACTCGCTTGACTGAAACAAATAACTGAATTCGTCGGTCTTGCTGTGACCAGACTTGGAAGGGTGCTGCCCTCCACCTGACAACTGTCCGCTCAATAGCTGAGACAGAGAAACGCTAGAAGTTGGGAGGTAGGTATGTGTTGCTGTGACGCGACCGTCATTATCAGCCGCCGGTGCACCCAATATGGCCCTACAAGACCCCCTGGTGGGATCGCGAGGCGAACAGGGGACACATCCTCCGGCTTGCTCTGCTTCCTCCGCCCTGCAACTGACCGGCTCGTCCTCAGAGCGCGTGGGATTCCAGTCAGCTTCTGAGGAGGATTCTGTGCTCTGTGATTGTGAAAAGGGCTGAAATAAGTCCATATTTTTCATGCGTTTTATGAACCTTTTTTCATCCCGGGTTTCGCGGATGCAGTCAGTGTGGACAGGTTCCAGACTCTCTCCGAAACTCTGCCTTACGTCAAACTGTCTTCCCAAAAGACCTCTCGTGACCGGCGGTCGAACCAGGTACCCCTGCCTTACCGCGAATTCCAGGTGAGAGGTCACGTGACCCTCCGCGCTGAGGTGTCGCCACTCCTCGGCAAACGATCTTGATGAGCGGTCAGGGACCCGCAGGGTATCCATCCCTTGGTTCTTGCCTTTTTCCAGCAAGTTGCATGCTTCGGACGGACTACTGTTCGCCTCCTGATCATCGGACCTGAAGCACTGAATAATAATCTCTGGAACTTTCTTATTGGTCTGTATACAGTCTGTGGTGAAGGCAGATATGCCGGAGACTTCGTATTGGCCTGCGGTACATCCAGGTACGACGAGAGGACTTTCCATGACCTCGAGGCGGCTGTGCGAAAAACTCAAGGGATCGATATCTTTTCTCACGAACCCAGGACATTCATTAGTTTCAGTATGTTCTAGGCTTTGTCCAGGTCCATGCGGATCTAGTTTTGCGACGTGAAGGCTAACCTGTGGAAGGTTCTCCGTCAAGGATGCCAAGGAGTCGATCTCGGCTTCCTTGCACTGGAGCGGTTCACAACTCGGAGTTTTCCCATTTAGGCTGGAACATGCAAGTGCTGTAGCGTTGTCATACGAAGGCCGGCATTTAACACTCAGGCCGTGTGTGTAAATCTCAGTTATGCACCAGTACCGGGGAAACTCAGGTCTCATCGGAGTATCGTGTAGGCATTCACATCTGTCGGTCTCATTGTCAATGCCACCTTCTGCAAGCATACAGTATTCTTCACACAACGCACAGAATTCTTCAGTGCCTGGAATGAGTCGACGACACTCGGACTGCGTGGTGACCATGTCCTTAGGGTCTTCCGGAGGAATTCCGACACAGTGGTGTGATGATCCATTCAACAGCTTGGGTTGTAAATATAAGTCGTTGGAGTGAGGGTCAAATTGCCGAAAGTGGTTGTGCAAAATAGATGAATCGGCGAGTGGAGATTCCCTGACATGTTCCAGTTCACCTCTCCCCTCTACAGAAGCTTCCAGCTGCTGATTCGGTTCCGCTAAGTGTGAAATGCTGGGCGTAGAGCGGATGGAACTCAATCTCTTCCCCCGATCCGCCTTCTTTGTTGTTGATTCACGCTGCACAGACAAGATTTCAGTGGCGTCCTGTCGGTATGTCAAGCTGGAAAGATGTGTAAATAAACTTTTCAATCTCGTCCTCAGTTTGCCTTTTTTGCTTTTTGGAGTTACCTGCGAGCAGGCCTGACGGCTAAGATTGTTTGCTTCGGCTTGTCTTGTGGCGGATTTTTCAATTTCCGACGACGAGGCTGCCGAAGTGGTGTTGTCAGCATCGCCAAAGTCTGTAGTTTGTTTTGCACGTGAACCACTAGACAAGCCCTCAGATCGCTCGCTTTTATTCTCAGCCTGTCCGTGCGAAAGCTCTGGTTCAGGGTTCGGGCGTAGTTCGGCCGGATCAGTTGCGAAATTCCGGTCATGCATAACTATTCCACCTTCTGGGTAAACGAGTACGACATAAAAATTCCCCTATCTCGGAAGCCCAGGGACTGAGTCATGCCTGGCCTTGGCAATTTTAAATGGTATTGATTGCTCGCGTGAATGGCTTATCACATGGACTTGCTGGAATCTCATTGGTCAAACGGCACCAATCCCATGAGCCTACCATCAGAGGGCTAGCACCCAATCCGTCTTGCCATATCCGATAACATCTTGCTTCTATTGTTCACAACCAGACCTCCTCTCAACCCCTTTATCAATCATTGCCAGTATTTACATATTTCCGCGTTTAAAGCTCTACGTGGAACATAGCCTAGATCAGGTCAAACATGATCGGTCATAAACAACATGGAACGCCGCTCAGACATGTGGCAGGGCATGACATCTGTTATTTATCAACGATCATACCTGAGCCATTCGGGCTGTTTTAACGTGCTATGGAAAACGGATAAATAGATCACAAAACCGGGCCTCATTTTGTCGTTGCAGCGCATTCAGCTAGCTAACACAACTGTCCCCTCCTCCTCCTCCTCCTCCTCCTCCTCCTCCTCCTCCTCGTCCAATTGCCTGCTCCTCTGTAATGCTAAAGCTTGCTGAAAGAGTTGCCCTAGATATCATAAAGCCTTTTTCTTCCAGTTTTTCCGACCCTTTACAATTTGCATATAAAACCAAACGGAGTACTTTAGATGCTGTCGCTCTTGTGGTTCACTCTGCTCTAAAAGCATTAGACAAGGGTTGCCGCGAGTATGCGTGCGCTTTTCTTGGTTACTCCTCCGCCTTCAATACCGTTCCGCGCCCTCTTCTCCTTACCAAAACCTCCGCATGCGGCTCTCCAGGCTGGGTCGTCTCTTGGCTTAGAGATTATTTTACCTTCTGCACTCAATTTGTCCAATCTGGCAAGCGGAAATCTTCGACCATTCCCAATGACTGCGGTGTTCTTCAAGGTTCCATTCTATCCCCTTACCTTTTCTCCCTCCACACTGACGATCTAAGGTCCCCTAATGACTGTCTTCTGGTCAAGTATGCTGATGATGTGGTTGTTGGACACCCTCTCAAAAGTCAGACACACCTCCGGTCTCTAAAGGATGGCCTAAACCATGTCCTAGCGTGGTCGGAGGAAAATGGTCTCCTAATTAACAACCAACAATCCGTTCAGTGTATTTTTCGACTGCGGCCCTCTCCTAATCCTGATTCCTCTGACATTCTTCCGAACGAAGTATCCTCTTTCAGGTACCTCGGCGTTACTTTGTCCTCAAATCTTTCATTTTCCCTCCATATTGAGTCCCTATTTATTAAAGTTCGCAAACTTCTTTACTACATACGTCGTTTACGTTCCTACCACACACCTCAACCCTTAGTCTGGCGATTCATTGGTGCCTGTATTCTTCCTCTTATCCTATACTTCTCTCCTGTCATTTTTCCTGCTTTGCTAAAAAAGGATCTTTTAATTTTGAAACGAGTCCTCCGCATGCTCTCTTCTGCTGCTGGTGTTTCTTATCTTTTTTAGTTGACACTATCTTACAACGACACTTCAATGCGGTCAAGCAATTTGCTGGTCGAATTCTAGATGACGTTGCTCATCCCTTACATTCTGATCTTATGTCTGCGAAATCTTCCCGCCCAATGCGCCGCAGCTTCCGACTTATCTCCTGTCGCACATCGGCTTATCGAGCTTCTGTATTGCCATTCCTAGCGCGCTATCTTACGTGCGAAGAGACAGAAATACAGAAGCTAAGACTAGAACTATCCCCATAATAATCGTTTCTTTGACTCTTGAATAATCTCTTAACTTATTTACTGTCCACAGTGAATGGAGCCAATTTTTTGCTAAAAATTTTGAACTTACGATTTCAAAATAAAGCGAATTCCCCTCTCTCTCTCTCTCTCTCTCTCTCTCTCTCCTCCTCCTCCTCCTAAATCTAAAAAGGGCGCTGAAGCAACATGTGACGCAGTTTCCCACCCCTTAGGTATTTTTCCGCTAGTACACCTGAGCTTTTCTAATGACCTTTAATGAACGATATTTGTCAGTTACGCTCCCCTACTCACCGATTGAGATGGTTCGGCCCTGTGCTACGCCGACCTGAAGGCAAAATCGTCCGGTATGTCAACTTGTCGCCCTGGCTGGCGACGGCATAGGGGATTTCAACTGAAGACGTGTGTAAAATTGGTGAACTCTGACCTCAAACGCATCCTGACATTGCAGTCTTTTGTAAAGAAGATGAACACACGATCTCTGGGACAGTAGGCGTATTAGTCTGAGCTTTCGGTATCGTACAGGAGGCCATCGTCAGAGACTGTGAGAATGCGACATCAAATGAGCAGTTTTTGTAGTCAAGCCATGAAGGGGGTGGGGAGATATGAGTGCAGAGGGTGGTATTCGCGATAAGCTGAGTCCCACGCCGTCTCACGGTGGCGTGACTGCGTGCACCCTTGGCTGGAAATTGGGTCTCGCGTCTTGGCCGCGGGTACGGAGCGCGTGATAGCAGGGGAGTATGTCAACCTGCCTGTTGACAGAGTTGGTGTCAGACGCCCAGGCCTCCAACAGTTCTCGTCCTGTCTTATTGTTGGCCGCAGTCTTTTGTCCGCGGGCTACAGGGCCACTTGACTCAAGTCCGTCCTCCGGTCTGCCGTGGCATACTGCAAGAGAATGTGGCCGTTAGCACCATGATGAACCTGCTACATGGAGCCCGGTAAATCCCTTACAATGAGTGCAGTCACAAATGGACGGTGAGAAAACGCGTGTAACGGACAGGACCTCCGTGTCCAATCACACTCGGCGCCCTCGGTGATTGGTCGATCACACTGCAAAGAAATTTCGCTGGCACACGCCGATGTCCGCCCGCCTTTGTTAGGCCAACACAGTTACTGATTCAGAAGGGAGGAAGGGGATCCAGAGAGTTAGCCTTCAATGGGCAGAACTTTTAACTTGGTGAAGGGAGTGTATAGTAAACTGCGAGTGTGTGCCTTAATGTCGATTACAAAACTGCGATGGCTGCTTCGCGTGAAGAGTAGGAGGACATGAAATAATAGGCTGACTGTTATCCTACATCAATGTAGCAGCGCCGCAACAGGTTATTCCGGATACCGTACCTATTTTACTACCCAAACCTAGAGCACTACTTACCTCGATCCGTGCACTTCACTTAGAAACAAACCTGCTCTTTAAGCGCATACAGCCCTAACGAAGATTTCACGAAAACCGATCCTTACCGGACCGTCTTCAAAATCATTTGATTCCGTGGAACTGTAGTAAGAAGTCACAAATTTAAAAACCCCGTGATTAAAACCGATGGGCTTTATCTAGTACAGCATAGCATGGGTTCTTGGGCCTCGCCCGCATAACCAGACAAGTGGAGCTCAACGGCTTTTTTGCCTATTTTTCACACAAAAACTAGCATCAGTGTTATTCACACAGGACATCTTTGGTTCGCAAATAACAGCTGAAATTCTCACGGCCAGCATGTCTAGGCAGACCGCCGGCTCCTGGGCACACAATATATTCACCCATGTGGGTTGAGTCGACTTTTCCACACACCGCACCGTCACTGAGGCTACCTTTCAAACATTCAAATCCTGCCACCTCGGTACTCCAGGACTTTTATCATAAGAAGGACGGAAAATGAGCACCTACCCCGGGGCTGGAGAACTAGCTGGCATTCATCTAGGTCTTTTTCTGCCGCCACGGTGGTGAGACCTTGACGAAACTGGTATACATAAAGACAACTACAGTCAGTGACTGGTCCCGTGAAATATTGACAGAAATTCTGAAATTCGGTTTCCATTACAAGGGAGTTCTTAAGCAGAATTGTAATAATGACTATCGCGCGGCACAATTCGATTATGTTTCAAACACGATAGGGTATTGGGTTTTGAATATACACTTTTTCAGCCGCCTGCAAAATCCACACTCGGCGAAACTGACTGCTTTCTTAGTGTGCATTTTTCTTTCGATTTTCGGAGCTCTGATAGATTCAAATATATTCTTTAAAAAACATGCGCAAAATGTTCCTTCTTGTATTTAGCTGGTAGCAAATCGCGTCTTCCTCAAAGTGCATACCTGACGAAAGGTTGTCATTCGTTTTTAACAAAATCGACAATTACGACATTTTTCAGAGCCTGAAACGTCCATTAATACGGCATCGATTCTGCTGGTTTTCCTTACACAGGAAGTACAGTGAGTGACCGATCACATGAAATGTTGGCTGAAATTCTGAAATGCGTTTTCGATTAGGAAGGATTACTTGGTCGCGGTTGTAATACTGATTATCTAACGGTATACTCTTATAACATTTCGGACTCGGCAGGATGTCAGCTTTTGAATACACTGCTTTTCAATCTCC